TTTTTGCTCCTTGTTGATACACCTTAGGGGTCTCCTTCTGGCAAAAAGAGAGCTCCACCTTGTCCTGGCATGTCCCAGATTGCCAGAGAAGTAACCTGGATTTAAGAATGCTTAGTATGGTTGGGGGAAGGGAAGATAACAGTGACATGACTTGCTCTGGGTAGGATATGGTGGTCCAAACCATTTGCAGTCAATAAATCAAGAAGAGCAACTACAAAGTATTCTGTCTTGCCTGCTGGGTTGGGCACTTGAGATACCAGGGCATTGGGAGGTGTTCTTGTGTAAGAAGTTACTCACCTAAAAGGAAAAGCCATGAATTTTAAACAGGAAAGTGCCCGGAATGTGAGTTCCTCTGTTCTAGCAGGTGGAGTAGGAAGCGAAAGATGAAGATCTGATTCACTTATGCATAGCACAGATGAGGGGCAAGACAGGATCTATTCAGGTAGAAGCAGATGGTAGAAAAGAAATATGAAGCACCTGCAACTCATATAGTATACATATATTCAAGGTTGGCATCCAGAGCAGGTGATCTCTGTGTGGAATAAATAAGGAACGCTAGAGCACAGGCTGTCATTATGAACCAATGACAAGATGATGGGAATCAAAGGGAGCTGAAAGAAAACCCTTCAATTTAGCAAGTCTGATTTATCCCATCATTGCCTTCCACTATTTCAAGTTCCCTACTCACTGCATATGCTTAGAGCACACTGGAGCTGCTAACACACCTGCAAAGTTGCAACGTAGCACAAGGTTACACGAGGTCAGCTCAAAAGGTAGAGGAACTCAGGTCGGTAAAGTTTTTGCTTTTCATGTGAACAGAAGTTTTAGTTGGACTTGACCCTTCCAGGAAAAAAGGAGCCCAGAACTAGACTTCAGAAAGTACCTGGCATTGCTAGGCTTCCTGGCAACCAGGGGCTGAAAGGCGTTTGGGAGAATGCCCATCTCTCTCCACGTGAGAAGACACAAGTTTTTTCAGAACCCCAGTTATCTATGATTATTCACCTTTAATGAGTCCTTCTGGATCTCTCACTTCCTTACACTTCCTTGCTTCTAGGCCTTACAGTATAAACTTGGTTACCACGGTTTCCTCTGATGACATCCCTATGTTCTTTCTGAAGACAGACACTTTTCCCCTCTGCATTTCGATGGAATTCTTACCATACCCTTCATTTGATGCCTCACAGTTTCCACTTGCAGAAGTCCCCACTGAGGTGGAAGATGAAGGTGCCCATTAGCAAGGACCAAAATTCTGGGTCTAAGCATTAACCCAGTTGAATGCTGCATGTTCAGGAGCTGGACCAGAGTTCTTGTGCTGGCTCTGCCTCAGACCTGCTGAGTGACTTTGGGCAGGTCATTTCTCCCATCTGGTTCTCTTGGTTTCCCCATCTGTAGAAAAGGGCAAGCCTCATGATGCCTCACTATATAAAACATCCTGAGATCTACAGAAGACAAACTGTACTGAGAGTCAGGCACTATTACTGTTAGAGCTCTGGTGTGCTAAATAGACACTGGCAAGAGACAAAAAAGCAAAATAAATCCAAGGGCAAGGAAAGCAGGCAAAGCAATAAAGCACAAAAATTGAAGACAGAAGGAGAAAAAGAAATCTAGTGAAAACCAAAATACAGCCCTGGGCACTACTCCTACGGTCTGAGTATATATGGAAGGATAAATTTATTTTGAAGCAGTTCTACAAATCCAGCTGTTCATCTTCTCAGTCACTGTGGTTTTAGAGGCCTGGTGTTTTGGTGAGTCCAAATTGCTGCTCCAGCCTAACTCCACACATGGGAAGCACTTTTTGTATGGCTTGGCTTATAAATGTATTGACTGACTACAGCTGTACAGCTCGAGCAGGCAAGGAGATGCTCCATCACCTTTGGAGATCAGCCAGGGTTATCCTTTCTCCAGCTGGGAAAAGCACAAGCTCGGCTGCAGACCTGCAGGACAGCTCAGTGGGCTTAACTAATATTGATCTAACTGCACATGTAGTGCTTTAAAAAGGAAGACCAGCTCAAAATTATAGCATCATCCAGAGAGAACGAAGGTTCTGGAATTAACATAGTTATATGTGTGTTACCCTACAATAGTACTGAGCAAGCAGCAGCTGTGATCTGTCAGCGTGTCCTTTGCTGTCACAGGATCCTTGCTGCAGAGACTGCCCCATTCTGTTCGTTTCCATTATGGATGAGGCTGGAGTGTCCCTGTGATTTTTCCATACAGGGAGGTCACAGTGCCCCTCTGACCAGTTTTCATTATATCTCCTGGGCAAAGAGCAGCTTGTATCTTGGGATTAATAGAAAAGATGACAAAAATTCAAATCCTGTCTTTGCAATTCCTAAGAAAGCAGTCACCTTTGCTTTCAGAGAGCAGCAGAGAGTGTATGAATTGGCTTTTGAATATTTGAAGTGAGAGAACGGGTTATGGTATGAATGCAGGATCATCCACTGCCTTTGGTGGGTTGCTTTTCCCCTTGCTGTTTGAGTTTTCAGCACCATCTCTTCCTAAAATTGTGTGCAGCCTTAGTTTTACTTATTTTTTAAAACCTGTTGAATAAGTGATATGAACTGCCAGTGAATACTACATTTCACTCCCCCTCATTAACATTGTAAATTCATTTAGGACTCATTTAAATGCAGGATTAACAACCTGAGGACTAATCCACTCTTTATTCAGAGGACACAATCAGGATGAGCAGCCTTTCGTCTCGCATCACTCAGTTAGTTTGCAGGACCATCTCTTGGGAAGCAAATGATATTTCTGTCTCTGCTTGCAAGGGAACTGTTCAAGGTTAAGGTAGAAGTCTGGGAGATCAGTCCTGGTCCCAGGTCTACTGCAGGCTTCCTCTGCAACCTTGGTCAAATGCTTTTATACTGCATCCATTACTTCAGATCTGCACATCCAGAGACGTCAGACAAAAGATTAAAAGTAGAATTCATATGGTGGTCTAAGGCAGTGTCTTTTATTTCACCAGAGTTCAGGGTACATGTGCCATGGGCCAGTTGCCAACACAGAAACTTGATAAACTGAAGTAATACATTTAAGAAGTTTCCAGTTATGTGCCCCTACCCTTACTTACGGGAAATGATGTTTGATTTCGTGAGCACTCTTTTCCTGTGATGCAACTGGGATTAACACATCATTATCCATACTTCAGGAGCAAAATCAAGCCCTCAGTTTTCAGATGAGCAAAAAAAAAAAAACAAAACCAAAAAAACAACAAACCAGGCAAAAGTGTTGCTTTTCTTAAAGCAACAGTTACCAGTTCCTAAACACAGCACACTCAGCAGCAATCTTGCAGTACCTCAGTGATGCTGTTTTCAGATGCCCCATATGTTTGCTAGAGAAATAAATCACTTTTCTTGCAATTAACAAATGAAATGCCCTGTTGGAGCCTAGCTCTTACTTGCTGTCAGTAAATCATCTGCAAAAGGATTTTAATCCACTGAGGGGAATGAAGATTAAATATAAGCTTTGGCAAGTGTCATTTTCCACCAGTATGTTTTCTTGAAGGCACTTTGTGTCTAATGATACATTGAGGACTTGTTCCTCTGAGTACAATAAATAAATACAACTAATTGCTGTAGAAAAGAGGCTGACGGACAACCAGGGCCACTTTGGGCCTAACTGATTGGTGCTCCTAATACTCAGTAACACTTCTAAAGCTCAAGCCTTCTGTTCAGGACACGTGCAGCACACATCAGCTTAGCTGAACTCTGCCATCCCCCAAGGAGAGCATTTTTAAAGGTCTAATATAAACTGTTATTAACTGCTTGTATTGCAGCATTACCAAGAAGCCGTAGCCACACATGAGGACCCTGCTGTGACACAGGTTGCAGCAAATAAAAAGGAGGAGACACTGCAGTGGTTCACATAGTTTCAAATCAAAGGCCATGTGAACATTCAGAACATTCTCACCTCTAGTGTGATCATAAAGAATGAATGATTATATACACTTTATTGTTGGCTCCAGTTCCACAGACAAGCTCCTCACAGGCACTTGGTATCCACTGTGATAGCATAAGAAAAAAAGCATGGAAAAAATGTCTTTCTGGCACACTATTTCTAATCCCAGTTGAATACTAATTTTTTTTCAGAGACATAATTGTTCCAGTGTGGTTCCCTCAGACAGATGACAGTGACAAGACAACCACAGCACAACAGATCTATGACTCCAACTAATAATTCTGTAGGAAGTTTCCAAACCAGGGTTCTCTACTTAAAGTCCTGCATTTGCTCTCTGGCTAGTCCATTCAACTCTCCATTAATATCAAATTTGCTGCCACAACTACATGAGACTGCTGCTCAATGTCATCAAGTCCAGCCTATTGACAAAGCGACTCCTCTAAACCACTACAGGACTAGAGGTCAGAAACCTGGGTTTGTCCTGGGGTTGTACAGCTCTGTCTATAGATGTCTGCAACATTCAAATGGCTTCTGTGTTAAAAGGACATCACAATTGCAACAGTCTTTCTTAAACACAAGGAAAGAAATGTCTGCAGCTAACAGCACCAAAATCATAGGGATATTGTTAATCCATGAGCTCCATGAATGCAGTGATTGTGAGCCTGCCCTGCAGTTCTCATCCTCAGGTACTTGTCCTGATGAGTTTTACATTTCCATGCCACATTGTACTCCCAATTACTATACATTCAGCAGATTCTTTCTAGAACATATGAAGGGCATCATACATCACACTTCTTACCAACTACAGAAAGTTAGAAATGAGAAAACAGGATCCTGCTGTTGGTTTATCATGAGTTTTCTGACATAGAGGATGTAGCCGACTCCTATTTGAATGTAGCTGTCATAAATAGGTTGGTTTGCCTTTGGGCCATTCTGATCCCTGATTTCCTGCCCACCAGCAAAAGCCCTCATGTTCAGGCATCTTCCTAAGAGCATATTTCACAGCCAATGTGCCCAAGGGCCACAGCTGAAGAAATCTGAGAGCACCCTTCTGAGAAGCAGAAGGTTACAAAAACCATCAAGAAAACAAACCCTCTTACCTGTTTGTAACAAGCCAGCCCCACTGTCTTTGACTCCAAAGTGCTGCTGGATGTCTAGTAACACACCTACAAGGAAAACAGAAAGAAACTTAGTGCTTTCAGCCTTTGAAAAGCATACAACTTCTGTGAAGCATGAGCAAAGCTTCAAAGTCCAGTAGTTTGGACTCATAACTTCTGAAGTTTGCACACTGGATTCTTTTTTATCCATGCACGCTCAATAATTGTGGGCTACTACAATAAAAGCAGATACAGCATCATGCAAAGAGTTTGGGAATTAAATCCTGGTGCATAATCATAGGAGATAATCATAGGATCAACTGGGTTGGAAAAGACCTTCAAGATCATCAAGTCCAACCATTGCCCCAGGACTGACAAGTCCACCACTAAACCATAAGCAACTGGTCTTCCCTTTCTACTTAAGTTTTCTTTCTGTTTGTTTTCTGCAGAATCCAGATCCCTTCTGTTCTTTTACAGACATACAGAGAACTGATTCTATGCTTTAGGTGCTCGAGATGGTTCCACAAGACAAACTGAATCCAAGACAAATTTTAACAGATCTCTGTTGGGAGGAGATATGACACAGCAATAGGAGCAATGATGGAAGTTTCACATTTAGGTAGTTCTGGGGGGTTCTCATTTCCAAAACAAATGTAGAAAATACATTTCAATAGCTTAGTAAAGGTGGGTGAGTGACCAAGTGTCGCTTTTGGTTTAAAGTAACTGCCAGCAGTTGCCCAAACCAACCTTCCCTCTTCCCTGAACTCCTAATATATCAGTTGGCATAAGCAAAACGAGCAGGTTTCGTAGTGTTTACATGTTCAGCTAGATTTAGCACTGGGGTATCAGATATGTTCATCCATATAGTGTTATTTAGGCCACTGTATTCCCCAAAACACCAGAATCCCCATTCTCCAGCTCTACTGAGCACCTACAAAAGTTCACCTCCAGTTCAAAGCCTGATCCAAGGCTTTTTCCAAAGTGATTCTTCTCATCGCTGCAGGTCACAGGCATCAACTAAGCAGCAACCTGAACTCATGCACCATAAATATCTTAGCTTTTGGGTCTGCTAGGATCACACTAAATGACAAACTCACAGAGATACAAGACCTTGAGGTAGCTATTCCCAGAAGACACCTGGGACAATGCCGAGAAAACAGACGTAAATTAAAGGTACTAAAGATAAAACAGAGAAGGAAGAAAAAGCAAGAAAGCTCATTTGTCCTGTTCTGTGCTGCTCGTACGTCACCATTTACACAGGGCAGCATTCAGGTTGGCTTTAGACTACCAATGTCTGCTCAGTAACATTAGTTCAACCTCCTACAGCAATCCCCAGAAGGCTCTGGGTGGGGAAGGGAGTGTGAATCTTATCAATGTGTGTCAATACCTGAGAGGAAGGGGTAAAGAAGACAGCCAGGCTCTTCACACTGGTGCCCAGTGAAAAGAGGCAAAGGGCACAAAATGAAATCCAGGAATGCAGCAGCTGTACCTCTCCCAGCAAACACTCCAGCGAGGACAGCAGCTGATGCGAAACTGTATGGTGCAGAGACTACCTTGATGTTGGTTTCATGGTAGAAACCTGTGTGCTGAACTGAGCACCAAGCAAGATTCATACCTTCCAAACCACCAGGTGCTCAATGGGCAGGAGCAAGCCAAGAGCAGAACTTCACCTGTGCAAGAAGCAAAATGACACAACCAACCATCCTGCCCCAAGATACCAAAGGGACTAATTCAGTGATGGGAAAAGGGAGATTAAGAGCTGTAGCCCTGCCTTAGTAAAGCTGTCAGAGGAGGGAGATCCTTTGAGCAGCATGGTTGGACCAGATTATCTCCACAGGTCCCTTCCAGTCCCAGCTACACTGGGATTCTGTGCTCCTCATCCCATGATGGAATACACATGCACATCCAGAGCTCCATCTACCACCCTGAAAGGTGCCTGCCCTGCCTACAGAAGCGTATTCCCAGGCATGCCAGCATGTCACAGGCACACTAAAGCACCAAAATTATGAGGATCAAGAGCCCAGGATGGGATGGAAAACAGTCTCAGAAAGAAGATTTTTTTGGGATTTGCATCAGAAAGCAGAACAGCAAGTGAAGGAATTATAATAGTGCTACACAGTAAAGCAGAGGTCTTCTAGCTCATTACAAAGAAATTGCCTGTCCAGTGACCACAGCTTTACAGTTCTATAGTGCTTTTTCCACTAGGGATCATAATGTGTTTTACAAGCCTGAACTACTGCAGCCACAAATGAAATATATTTAGGACACTGAAGTGTAGCCACCTTGGATTAAGCCTCCAACTTTATTCTGGTGGTAGAGAGGGAAGTGGGTTCTGTGGATAGTCAATGCAACAGGACAATATAGAACCACAATTACAAGTCCTGTGTGAGCCTGGAAGCAGGTCTCAGATGATTAAGGGAGATCTGCATGTCTAATTGACACAGCTTTCCTACTCCAAGTCTAGTTTATATTCTCTTTGGTCTACAGGTGTTTTGATATGGGATTTAGAACATTAAATTAGAGGCAGCAGCAAGCAGCTGATGCAACTCATCTCTGAAGTGATAGGAGTTTCTCTCTCCTGTGGCAGTTTTCCTGCTCAGCATGCTCACAGGGGAACACACTCCTGCCCTCTTATATTCGTTCAGCTCTGTTTCCACCTCACCATAACAACGACTCAGCCCAAACTTCAATAAGATTTAAGGATACAATTAAGCAATGATAGACTAGGGGAGAGAATATAGGGAAATGACAGAGCTTTTGACTTTCCCTTCTGCTTCTAGATGAGAAGAAAGAGCTGGAGCCAGGCTGCAGACGATGATCATGCTGCTTACAGAGATGTGCTCCCAGGTGTCTCACAAAACTCATGCAACTCAAGAAAGAGAAGCCACTACATGTGGCTGACAAGGTCTTTCTTGGATTAAAGTTCATACCTGTGTTCCAGGAGGATCTCAAAATAGCCATGAGCAGCTAACAGGCACCACTGCTCCCGAGACACCCTCTCAGCAGGGCTGGTGGCCATTTGGGAGGTATTCATGACTACATGGCACTCCTTAGTGCTATCACCTATTATTTCTTAAGCACATTTGGCATTTTCAGGACTGAACAAACACACAGCAAACATGGTGCCAACCTTCCAAAGTATTTTCCCAGCTGAATCAGACAATGTTAATGCTGATGCAGAGCTTGAGATGAAACACAGGCAGCACCTAGCCAGGAGTGCTGATCAAGATGGGCACAGAGACAGGATTTACTGGGAAACCGAGACAGAGAAATGACTAGTTACTTCAGCCAACCCAGACAGAATGACTACTTACTGTAGCCCTATCTAGGTGACTTTACTAGGCCAGACATGCTAGTGTCTAAGGACCTCACAAAGCCACCAAGGCAGTTACGGGATTTTTGAGGGCACTGGGCACAAAGAGAACTTTTAAGAGCAATTTGGAGGACAAAAGGTCTTTGGGTGTGGAGTGTTAGATAGGGAGGGAATGTTAAGTAAATGGGGATGAGGAACTTAGTTGACCTCATCCACTCACAGCATCAGAGGGTTTCTAGGATTTAGTGCAGGATCCAGAGCACTGTTGCCATTTTTAACAGCCATTTCACAAACAGTGAATATAAGACCTGATTCTGAGGCTTTTGGAATGCAGGTCCACATTTAATGGCCTAAGTTAACTCTGATTTAGGGGAAATGCTTTGGGAAAGACGAATTTTGCTAGAAGTGTGCGATTCAGGCTTCAAACAGGGAGGTAGGTTCTCGCCTAGGTGAACTTTCTGTTCCTGACCAGAGCTACAACAAAACAACAGTTACAGGACTGAAAGGTCATCTGATACGGGGTAAAAAAATGCTCTAAACAGAAGGTCATCTGAGTACAGGTGTTTCTTGTGTTAACCATCATTTACAGAACTACACAGCAGATCTAGCGTGTAAAATGCCTTGATTATCTTCTATATTTAAATGAAATGGGCTCTTCATCTATATGTATATATGAGTAAAGAGTCGCCATGGTAAGAAACAGTGTTCAGAAGCTAAGCCACAATGAAATCACTATTTCAAAGTAAAAAGACATTAGAGCTTCCCTAGGAGAGCCCCAGTTTCCACTCAACAAAACATTGTGATTTGATTTCAAATACAGGGTTAGCCTGTGCACAGGGTGCAAAGCTACACAATCAAAGCCACAGGTTTCCAGCTTTGCATCACTAATGCCAGTGCACATTCATTAAATGCTGCAATACCACTGCCCAACAGAACTACTTACTTAAAAAGCACATGCATTTTTAATGGTATCTTTTAATAGGGAAAAATTATGGTGCTTGGAAAGAACCAGCACACAACTTTCTACATGCTGTAGGCTGGTCACTGACCACAATCATGTCTGCCCCCAGCACCCTCTCCACTGCCTCACTGCAGCTGTGGATTTGCACCTCTCCTTGGGGAATCCTCAAAGGAGATGGAGGACAACCCGGACTCACACTCTCTTTGCTCCCAAAAAGTGAGAGCAAACTCTGTACCAACAACTCTTTTCCCTCTACGACCTGTTGCTACCTACCTCTGTTCCTTATCAAGGCATTTCCTTCCCAGGCTATGCTCCCTGCTTCTTCCAGGACCAGCTCCCTCAGGTGGAGGTAACTAGCAGGGATAGCCAAGTCCTGGCCTCCTCGCCACTGAAGGCACAAGCCACCTTCCTACCATCAGGCTCTTCCTCATGCCTGCAGCCATATTCAACCTGCTTCTGCTAAGGCATTAAAGAGGCAGAGGAGTGGTGCACACACCTGTCTGTTCAGAGCCATGTGAAAAGATTAGGTGGAAAGAAGTTTATTCTGAGGTCTCTGTGATTGTATCTTCACTGTAACCCCAAGGTGTGACTGCAGTTCACACACAGCCCTGAGCTTCAAACGAGCTGGCTTCAGCTCAGCCACCCACTGGCTCTTAAACACGAACTTCACAGTTTGGACCCTATTTAAATACTCAGCTGCAGAAAACCACCATGGTAGCCCTGTTGATATTTGTACCTCCACGTAAATTCCCACTGCTACCAGAATTAGCAAGACTAGAACTGAAACACAGTGCT